AGCCAGTGGGATAACCACTTTACAATGTTCTTTTTTTTTTTTTTTTTTTTTTTGGGGGGGGTGGGGGTAGAAGGATTAATTTATCCTATCTCAGGTATTCCTTAAAGAGGTGGGGTTTCAAATGTCTCCGGAAGGTGGTGAGTGACTCCGCTGTCCTGGCGTCGTGAGGGAGCTTGTTCCACCATTGGGGTGCCAGAGCAGCGAACAGTTTTGACTGGGCTGAGCGGGAACTATGCTTCCGCAGAGGAAGGGGAGCCAGCAGGCCAGAGGTGGATGAACGCAATGCCCTCGTTTGGGTGTAGGGACTGATCAGAGCCTGAAGGTACGGAGGTGCCGTTCCCCTCACTGCTCCATAGGCAAGCACCATGGTCTTGTAACGGATGTGAGCTTCAACTGGAAGCCAGTGGAGTGTGCGGAGGAGGGGGGTGACGTGAGAGAACTTGGGAAGGTTGAACACCAGACGGGCTGCGGCATTCTGGATGAGTTGTAGGGGTTTAATGGCACAGGCAGGGAGGCCAGCCAACAGCGAGTTGCAGTAATCCAGACGGGAGATGACAAGTGCCTGGATTAGGACCTGTGCCGCTTCCTGTGTAAGGCAGGGTCGTACTCTCCGAATGTTGTAGAGCATGAACCTGCAGGATCGGGTCACCGCCTTGATGTTAGCGGAGAACGACAGGGTGTTGTCCAGGGTCACGCCAAGGCTCTTCGCACTCTGGGAGGAGGACACAACGGAGTTGTCAACCGTGATGGCGAGATCATGGAACGGGCAGTCCTTCCCCGGGAGGAAGAGCAGCTCCGTCTTGCCAGGGTTCAGCTTGAGGTGGTGATCCGTCATCCATACTGATATGTCTGCCAGACATGCAGAGATGCGATTCGCCACCTGGTTATCAGAAGGGGGAAAGGAGAAGATTAGTTGTGTATCGTCAGCGTAGCAATGATAGGAGAGGCCATGTGAGGATATGACAGAGCCAAGTGACTTGGTGTATAGGGAGAATAGGAGAGGGCCTAGAACTGAGCCCTGGGGGACACCAGTGGTGAGAGCACGTGGTGCGGAGACAGCTTCTCGCCACGCCACTTGGTAGGAGCGACCGGTCAGGTAGGACGCAATCCAGGAGTGAGCCGCGCCGGAGATGCCCAGCTCGGAGAGGGTGGAGAGGAGGATCTGATGGTTCACAGTATCAAAGGCAGCAGACAGGTCTAGAAGGACAAGAGCAGAGGAGAGAGAGTTAGCTTTAGCAGTGCGGAGAGCCTCCGTGACACAGAGAAGAGCAGTCTCAGTTGAATGACCAGTCCTGAAACCTAACTGGTTTGGATCAAGAAGGTCATTCTGAGAGAGATAGCAAGAGAGTTGGCTAAAGACGGCACGCTCAATAGTTTTGGAAAGAAAAGAAAGAAGGGATACTGGTCTGTAGTTGTTGACATCAGTGGGATCGAGTGTTGGTTTTTTGAGAAGGGGTGCAACTCTCGCTCTCTTGAAGACGGAAGGGACATAGCCAGCGGTCAAGGATGAGTTGATCAGCGAGGTGAGGTAGGGGAGAAGGTCACCGGAGATGGTCTGGAGAAGAGAGGAGGGGATGGGGTCAAGCGGGCAGGTTGTTGGGCGGCCTGCAGTCACAAGTCGCAGGATTTTATCTGGAGAGAGAGGGGAGAAAGAAGTCAAAGCATAGGGTAGGGCAGTGTGAGTAGGACCAGCAGTGTCATTAGACTTAACAAACGAGGATCGGATGTCGTCAACCTTCTTTTCAAAGTGGTTGACGAAGTCATCCACAGAGAGAGAGGGGGGGGGGGGATTCAGCAGGGAGGAGAATGTGGCAAAGAGCTTCCTAGGGTTAGAGGCAGATGCTTGGAATTTAGAGTGGTAGAAAGTGGCCTTAGCAGCAGAAACAGATGAAGAAAATGTAGAGAGGAGGGAGTGAAAAGATGCCAGGTCGGCAGGGAGTTTAGTTTTCTTCCATTTCCGCTCCGCTGCCCGGAGCTCTGTTCTGTGAGCTCGCAATGAGTCATCCAGCCACGGAGCTGGAGGGGAGGACCGAGCCGGCCGGGAGGATAGGGGACACAGAGAGTCAAAGGATGCAGAAAGGGAGGAGAGGAGGGTTGAGGAGGCAGAATCAGGAGATTGGAGGGAGAAGGATTGAGCAGAGGGAAGAGATGATAGGATGGAAGAGGAGAGAGTAGTGGGAGAGAGAGAGCGAAGGTTGCGGCGGCGCATTACCATCTGTGTAGGGGCAGAGTGAGTAGTGTTGGAGGAGAGCGAGAGAGAAAAGGAAACAAAGTAGTGGTCGGAGACATGGAGGGGAGTTGCAGTGAGATTAGTAGAAGAGCAGCATCTAGTAAAGATGAGGTCAAGCGTATTGCCTGCCTTGTGAGTAGGGGGGGACGGTGAGAGGGTGAGGTCAAAAGAGGAGAGGAGTGGAAAGAAGGAGGCAGAGAGAAATGAGTCAAATGTAGACGTAGGGAGGTTGAAATCCCCCAAAACTGTGAGGGGTGAGCCATCCTCAGGAAAGGAACTTATCAAGGCGTCAAGCTCATTGATGAACTCTCCAAGTGAACCTGGAGGGCGATAGATGACAAGGATATTAAGCTTAAATGGGCTAGTGACTGTGACAGCATGGAATTCAAATGAGGAGATAGACAGATGGGTTAGGGGAAAAATTGAGAATGTCCACTTGGGAGAGATGAGGATTCCTGTGCCACCACCCCTCTGACCAGATGCTCTCGGGGTATGCGAGAACACATGGTCAGACGAGGAGAGAGCAGTAGGAGTAGCAGTGTTTTCAGTGGTAATCCATGTTTCCTGTCAGCGCCAGGAACGTCGAGGGACTGGAGGTTAGCATAGGCTGGGATGAAGTCAGCTTTGTTGGCAGCAGAACGGCAGTTCCAGAGGCTGCCTGAGACCTGGAACTCCAGGTGTGGGGTGCGTGCAGGGACCACCAGGTTAGAGAGGCAGCAGCCACGCGGTGTGAGGCGTTTGTGTAGCCTATGCGGAGAGGAGAGAACAGGGATAGGCAGAGGCATAGTTGACAGGCTGTAGCAAATGGCTACAATAATGCAGAGGAGATCGGAATGAAATGAACTAAACATCTGGGAAAGGAGAGAGTAGGGCCTCCCTCACCAAAACTTCCACCTCAGAAACTATAATTGTTTCACTGAACCACCCGAACAAAAACTCTCCCAACTTCCACTTTTAGAAATTAGAATTGTTGTGAACTACAGCGGTTCAATGTTTCAAGGAATAGACTCAACTTACTTTATTCAGCTATCTAACTATGACACCATAAACTAGCATGCTAGCATCCAATAACACACAGTTTAGCACCAATACTTGGTTACAACAAACTACCAATAGTGTGTTAACACACTAAACAGATAATTCGTGTCCGTGTCTAGTTCCTTTCATAACGCAGCAATAATTAAACGTTGGCTAGCTAGCACAAATATATTGTATTTAGCTGCTACAGTACAGTTAGCTGGTCGTGTTGGCTAGCTAGCAATGGCTACTGTGTTGACTTAGTTTGAAAAACGGCTAGCTAGCTGGCTTCGTGCTACACCCGGCACCGCCGAAAACAATGCTAACCTACAATAACTACCCACAACAGCCCACGATGCCTAACTATGACACCATAGCTAACTAGCATGCTAGCATCCAATAACACACAGTTTAGCACCAATACTTGGTTACAACAAACTACCAATAGTGTGTTAACACACTAAACAGATAATTCGTGTCCGTGTCTAGTTCCTTTCATAACGCAGCAATAATTAAACGTTGGCTAGCTAGCACAAATATATTGTATTTAGCTGCTACAGTACAGTTAGCTGGTCGTGTTGGCTAGCTAGCAATGGCTACTGTGTTGACTTAGTTTGAAAAACGGCTAGCTAGCTAGCTTCGTGCTACACCCGGCACCGACGAAAACAATGCTAACCTACAATAACTAACCTACTAACTACCCACAACAGCCCACGATGCCTAACTATGACACCATAGCTAACTAGCATGCTAGCATCCAATAACACACACGAACAACAAACATTATAGTTTGTTGTTTGTGCATTCATTAAATAAAAGAAGTATGTTCGTACATCACGCTGCGCCTTGGTCTACTCCCTTCGACGATCGTGACAGTAAGCTAATGAAAAAAGACACAGAATTTGTTTGTGGCTGATTGTTGGTTGAGTTGGAAGATGCTATCTTTATTTTTACCCTTACCCATAAATGGAGTGCAATTATTGCAACCATAAGAACAATTGGAGAATGGAGCTGTCCTCATAGCAAATTAGGATGGGGGACCTCGTATAACCATGGCAACTTGAACAGTATCAACCACCCTAGATAGGCCTAGCTATCTATGGCTCTGCCTGAGCTAACTAAACCTCGATATATTTGACTTTGCTGCCATCTAAAATGAGTGATAATACATTGTTTCCCATGTATTTGCCCAACAGGATTGACCCTCTCAAAATGCTTGAGCCAAGAGGGTTGCAAACTTGACATCTCTACTAATGTTGTTTTCCTCTTGCAGTTAGAAGTTATACCGATTGGAAATTGTATGAAATGGTTAGCTTCATTTTATTTGAAATATTACTTTTTTTGTCAAAGTAACATAATTTAGCGCAAACCTATAGTCTGCAAAAAATCACGAGTTTTTAAAATTTCCAGCGCGGCTTGGTTCTCTATGTTCACAAGCGCACCGCAATTGTATGGAGCATTGACAGCAACGAGACAGTTTTGTAGGCCTTTAGCTGATTTCTTCGGCAACATTTCTTCTGAATGTGGATCATATAAGAAAATGAGTTTTTAATTATGTAATCCTATGTGTAATTTAAATAGGGCCATATTTAGCAGGCACCCTGTGGGGGGAGTTGCCGCGTTCAAAAGAACTGGGAACTCGGAAATAAACGAGCTCAGACTGGGAAAAATCGATTTGAACGGTCATCCAACTCGGAATTCCAAATCGGGAATTCGGGCCTCTTTCCGAATTTCCGACCTGAAGATCACTGACGTCATGATTTGACCTTGTATTTTGCCGAGTTTCCAGAACAAGGCAAGTGTAGTGTAGACTTGAGCGTACTGTCAATCGCTGTTACATAACGGAGAACTTTGGCCAGGCGTGCTTGAGAACTGGAGTAACATAAAGCGGGTCAAATGAGGAGTCTGTGAATACAGGCTACAGCAGACCCTAGACATGTCTTCCCAAGACTACGACTGCATAGTGATAGGAGCCGGGGTTCAGGGCTCTTTCACTGCCTATAACCTTGCGAAAAATAACAAGAACACCCTTCTACTTGAACAGGTTTGTAATTTATAAAGCGAGTTGGCAACAGGATAAGAGCGTCTGCTAAATTACAAAAATGTTTTAAAATGTAGGCTACCAACAAGTCGTTGCATTGGAGTTGACACCATATAAATTCAGTGGTTCTGTACGAACTATTGAATTTTATGGTGTCAACTCCAATGCAACGACTTGTTGGTAGCCTACATTAAAAAATTTTTTTGTCATTTAGTAGACGCTCTTATCCAGAGCGACTTACAGTAGTGAGTGCATACATTTTCGTATTGGTCCCTCGTGGGAATCGAACCCACAACCCTGGCGTTGCAAACGCATGTCTACCAACTGAGCCTACGTCGTCATAATTACATGATCGACGGGGTTATTACAAATTATTTAGAAGTGATAACGTTTTTCTTTGTATTGTTATATTTGGCACTTTGAACTGGTCCTACTGTAGACCTAGCTATAGTTTCAGCATGTTTCAAACTTCCATGTGAATATGCGACATAAGCGACTGCTTCTGTATATATATATTTTTTTTGGGGGGGGGTGGAACTAAATCGGGTATCAATTTACTGTTCAGCTTTAGAATAGTAGAATACACAAGGTGCAATTTCGAAATGTGGTTGTGTGTAAGCAGTTTTTTTCTTGTTATGTCAATCACTGACAGACTCAATCAGCCCATGTCAGCTAACATTTTTAGATATGTTTGGTAATCATGTTAGAATTACTGGCAGGGCACGTGCCAGGGACCCTGACCTCTAGGGGGCCACCATTGATTTTGTTAGTCACTCATACTCAGATATCATATTAACCTAGAATTGCAGAACATTTGCTTTGAAACTGCAAAATTTCTCTCCACCCCCATGGCAAAATGAGCAGAATTGCATGATTTATAAAATTTCTAAATCTTCTCTCCACCCCATGGTATAATGTGTAAAATTGTGCAAACTTGCTTTAAAACAGCAACATATTCTCTATGCCCCATGACAAAGTTTTTCTTAGGGCCCCAAAAAGGCTAGGGAAAAAGGTCCTGTGAATATGAAAATGGCATCTCCAACTCTGTTTCTGAATGCCTTGTTCCTCAGTTTGTCCTGCCGCACTCTCGTGGCAGCTCTCATGGCCAGACACGCATCATCCGCAAGGCCTACGACGAGGACTACTACACCCACATGATGGAGGAATGCTATCAGCTCTGGACTCAGCTGGAGAAAGAGGCCAACGTCAAGCTTTACAGGTGAGTGCCTTAAGCAAAAGTATAAGGTCTGTCTCAATAGCAGCGTTAGAAGAACATTGTAAAAGCTTTATACCAGAACACTGAGATTTGTCGCATTCAATGTGTTTCGCCAGTGTTCAAGCAGCAACTCAATCTGTGTGAGCTATAGATGGATGACTTTCTCATTACCTCACACATCACTGAATCACCCCAGACAGCTCCCTGCCTGCCTTTGAATGTGGAACAAGGATTTTTTCGTCTCAATAAACCCCAATTCTCATTCCCAGAGCGAAGAGGGTTTGTTCTTGTAAATACTACAGCAGGATCAAAGTTGGAGCCAGACAGTCAGAGCCTTCAACCTCTACCTCCCCACCTAAAGCTTCCCTGAACCATTGTCTTAGTTTGAAACCCCATTTGGTTGTCAGTATCAGTCAGCTGCATAACAAATTGATCATTATACTGTTAGATGACTGATGGATCAATCACCAGTCTTCTACCCCACCCATGTTATGTTCCCAAGGCAAGCACACAATAGCTATAGATGTACCTCCCTCGGAGCAGCCATCCATGGCAGATGACTGATCGGTCCCCACACTAAGGCCACCTGTGCCCTTGGGCTGGATAAAACTGCAGCACAATGAGAAATGTTGAAGCTATGGCTGCGTGAATCTTTCTGAGCAATGCTTCACGCCTCTGTCGTTTCTCAGCCCTGGGGATGGACTTTGAGATGGGTTGGACGATAACCAAAAGCCCTTTGGCCACAGGCCATTCTGTATAGCGGTATGGCCACACACATACATTGCAACCAGCGAACCAGCATCACTCAGTCATCACATGGGTGGCATGGAAGCATGCATCATGTTTAGGATCTTATATGCACTCACGCGCTCTCCTTCGCTCTCACACACACACACACCACACACACCACTGTGGAGAGCAGGACACACTCCTAAAATTCTCTGATGAATGGGTAAAGCCGTTAGCAGGTGATGGCCCATGCGTCATGTCTGTTGACAGATGTTGGAGCAGCCTTTAGCCAGCCATCCATCCATCAACCAGACTGCTGCATTAGGGCCCCCTGTGTTTCATAACCTTTCACTCTGAGACCCTATAACTTACCACAGGCTGGGATTTTACAACATTAATTATTCTCAGTGTACTCTGTTTACAAACTGTTGTTTCATCAGATTGCCTTCATTAGATTAGATTGTAAGAGGCCATCTGGGACCTTATTTACAGTACATGTATGGCAAGCTGTTGATTGATTTACAAGGCTTGCTTTATGTTGTAGATGTTAAGGTTCAAACCACTTGCAAATATGACGAATGAGTTTGAACCCGGGTCTTCTATGTATCACACACAGGAGGTTGGTGGCACCTTAATTGGGGAGGACGGGCTCATAGGGAATGGCTGGAGCGGAATGGGTGGAATGGTTTCAAATGCCATTCCATTAGCTCTGTTTCAGCCTTTATTATGAGCCGTCCACCCCTTAGCAGCCTCCTGTGGTATCACAAGACTGTGTTAGCCTGCTGAGCTAAAAGCCATTAGCTCGGGGGGCTAACACACGTCTTGGGTCTCAGACATGGTTATTCATCATGTGAGCATGGTTCTCTGAACCCCAATGATTTTAGCTTAGCGCTAGATTCAATCCGTATCACGGAAGATCTGCGTTATAGCGCAATTGAAATGTGAAGATAATTTCCGGTTGAGCCGACATATGCAGCGTATAGCATGAATGCAGTCTCCGTAAACACGGAAACTTGATTTTAAAATGTAATCGCGCTATTGTGCGGATCTTCCGTGATACGGGTTGAATCTAGGCCTTAGTTTATCTTAGTTTATTTATTTCCACAAATGAAAACCGGATATTCACTACATGGTGATTAGGACCTCCTCTCCCAGACGTACAGGTCTGCTAGTGATGGGTCCAGAGAAGGGGGACTACCAGGTGTTCAAGTCCACACTGGAGAGGAACAAGGTTCCCATAGTGATCCTGCCGAGGGAGGAGTTCAGCCAACACATCCCCCATGTTAACCTGTCCCAGGGAAACGCAGCCCTGGTGGACACCACTGCCGGAGTGCTGTACGCTGACCGCACACTCAAAACAGTACAGGTAAGATGCTGTATGCTGACCGCACACTCAAAACAGTACAGGTAAGATGCTGTACGCTGACCGCACACTCAAAACGGTGCAGGTAAAAGTGACACAGTTTTGGTATGTATTGTTTACAAATCTGTAAAAGCCATTCTGGATTATGTTTGCATCCTAGAGGAGATCATTATTACTAGATGCTGTTAATTGATTGGCCTTGTACCTTTAACCCACATTGGCTCAGTGCTTCTTCTAGGGTGTGATAAGAACTCCATAAAGTACAGCTTTCCCTTTCCTTTAATGCTGTCCTGTTTATCCTTTACATTACCCCAATGCGTCAGACTCTGTAATGATCATTCATTAGTCTTTATCAGCAGCTAGGTAATTATGTTTTGACCACTAATTAGGAAATACATGATGGCTTGTACACACAATTTGGGAATACTGTATATGGTGTAAGTGAGACAGCTAGACAAAGAAAATATGAACTGAACGATGACATATAGCTTTCATATGCCTAGGTAGACAATGACAAAAGTAGTAGTATTTTTTGACAACTTTTTATAGCATTGAATTCAGTTTATTCAGACATTGGCAAGGAGAAACAAAGCATTGGAGAGAAACAGCCTGAAAACACCAACTGAAACGCTTTATTATTTTACTGCTGCCTCGGAACAATGGTCCTGTCTTGTATTGATTGAACAGATTTTTCCTCTCTTTTGTTCAGATCAAGCATAAAGCATACATTACAACTTGTCGTTAGTTGTGATTATAGACGTTTCTACAGCCGCCAAGATTACCACCATGCATTCTCATTCTGTCTGAATGTCTAGTTTCATAACCTCCTATCAACATTCTGTCTCACAATCTGCCAGCATCGATCATTTCTTATTTATGTTTTGTGAAGGGGTGGGGTATCTGTGTCTTTGAGAGTTTGCACATGTGCATAACCATGAGTGTTTTTCCACTATATGTGCAGTGGTGATTTTAGCATGAAAATCTTGGTGGGGCAAACAACATTTTTTATAATATTCATGCCAGCAAAGCCACTACACAACACAACACTAAACAACACATTAAATGCACTATAACAGTGACAAATGGTGCACACAAACTGTTAGGGCCTACATAAAGCTGTCCCAACAGCATAATTTTATTTTCAGCACCATGGAGTGAATCCTTACCACCGCTACACCTGGCTATCAGCAGAGCCTTGTCTGGCAGCAAAACAGTTAATTCAGCCTCATTTATTGCCTTTTTATAAAACATAGCTGATATGGCTTACTTGCTTAAACAAATGTGGTTTCTACTGACAACTGAGATGTACAAACTATGGCATAAGGGAATGCCGAGCGTATAGGAGGCAATCTGTAATTTCGATTAAGACATTAATGAGCGAGGGAAGACGGACGTAGTCAATATAACTATTTGTTCAGCACTTTTGAAATGAACAGCGACAGAATTCAGAAAATGGGCCATTCTTACAGTATTGTCCCTGTACACCAAGTCAGACCCGTAGGATAAATAAAGGGGGCATATAAGCAGACAATGAAAGCTCTTACAATATTCGATGATTACATTTCTCTAAAACAGGTTATAGGCTACATGTACACCACCAAGTCAGAACAGTAGGCTAAGTTATGAGGGGGAAAGGGACCCAAATTATTAGGGTGAGGCACATGGGCTACTAACAGCTTACTACACAACATACACGTAGTATTACTTTCTTAGCTACAGTATACATATCTCCCTGGCATATTACATAATTTATGCAGCAGCATACAATACATTTTTGGACTCACCGTTGTTGTGCTCACTGAATGGGAAGGTGGCGCGGCGATCCTTCTTGTGGACATATTTTGTCATTAAACTTTGCCATCAGTCTGGCATTCTCTGGATTAATGGTGCTTTCAAGACAACTGGGAACTCGGAAAAAAACAAGGTTGAATCATGACGTCAGTGATCTTCAGGTCGGAGCTCTAGAAAGAGGCCAGAGTTCCCGACTTGGAATTCCGAGTTGGATGACCGTTAAAAACTTTCCAGAGTTCCCAGTTGTCTTGAACTCACTGAAGTCTTAGATTTCCCAATTCCGAGTTTCCAGTTGTTTTGAACGTGGCAGAAGTCATGCTGGATTGACAGCATGGCCAATGTATTCAACCTTTTCTGGCCCATGGTGTTGCGTGTGACTGTTTATCCTTTTAAGCTTGGAAAAGAGACCCTTAAACCCAGACTTGGACCACACACCCTCTCCACCGAATAGCAGGCAGGGGAAGCAAAATAGTGATTGCTTTGCAACACTTGCAGTTAGCCACTGATTCCTTCCAAACCACTCATTGTTGCATTTGTGAATTCCAACTTGATGTGTAATGTTTATGTCCAATGGCCGATGAGCACTGATACGTTTTATCTATAATTTCTCTTCATATGAAAAGGATTTGCCAGTAGATTGTCGACGTGATTCATGATGATGACTGTTTGTCTAGCTTGCTAGCTAAGATTTTGAAAGTATGATGTTGACATGATCAGTCCAATCAAAGCTACAGTAGATATAACGTGATTTGACGTAATTGTATCTGTGGCCAATGACCTTGAGCCTTCTTGGATGGGCACTTCTAATGTAAATCAATGGCAGCACCCAAGGGGGCTTGAACTGCCTAGCTCTCCTGTAGATTCTGTGGTGACGTAGTGTCCCCATAAGTGACAGAACACTGAGCCAATCACAGCGCAACTAGAGAAGATTACCAATGCCTATGCTCTGTATTTTCCGCTGGCTGCCCCTCCACCACAGAAAGCACTGAGCTAGGCTGAAACACCTGCATTAGGAGACCATGTTTGTATGCAGCGTTGTTTTTTAAAAAACATTGTTTGCAAACTGAAATGTGACACGTATTAATACCAAAATAACATGCAAAACAGGTGGGGCTCAAAACAGGTGGCTCTGCCACACCTGCCCTGAATGACGGGTCGCCACTGTATATGTGTGTTAACTGTGTGATTATGAGCAAAACTACTCTCACTTCAAGTCTGAAGCCAAGGTCTCTTAGATATCTCTCTGTCAGAGGTCTCTGTCAGACCCAGCTGTTACCATGACAGCCGTTACTATGTGGAGACAGACAGACTACCCTTCTCTGACTGTATCATTCTGAGCCTCCTTGGCCTTGTACCATTGTACACAGAGACTTCTAGAACACTCCACCATTCTGCACAATAACTCATCCATCACAATCAGCAGATGGGCTGTATCTCACAGGCTCACAGAGGCACCCAGGTCTCTTACCTGCACTCTATTCTAGTAGATATTAAGACTGCTTCATTACGGTTTCAGCTGCCCTGCCCCTTGGTTGGCTCTCTAATACCTGCCTAGACATCCACATTCCACTCCCTTCCTGTTAAACTTTAACTAACCCTCGATGGAGGAGAAGTTCACCTCAGGATTAGTTGTGACTGGGATGCTGATATGGACTGTAAACTTCACTTGCATTGTGGTTGGTTTATTTACACGTTACCTGCTTGATACTATTCCACTTTAGTTACTAAGGTTCCTCTGTGTCCGTTTGGTCTCATTCATTTTGAACACACCTTGCGTACCTTACACTACAGTAACTGTTCTCTCTCTCCATCACCAGGGACAGTTCCAGAAATTGGGGGGCATGATCAAGGACGGACAAAAGGTGATTGACATCACACCGGGCTCTGTGGTAACCGTGACGACAGTCAGTGGGATGTACAGAGCTAAGCACTTGGTGATCACAGCTGGACCCTGGGCCAACACCCTGCTGTCCCACACAGGCCTTCAGCTACCACTGCAGGTAGGCTACTCACTACCTCCAACATGAGCTCACACTCCAATGCACTCCAGTGGAATGCTGTCCACTACTGTCACACTAGGCATGCTGTGATATGCTCCATATCTTTGGTCAAACCGCACTGTCACACGTTATGCACTCAAACACAAATAGACAATATGGCACTTGCAATCAAGCTTTACGGAGCATGTATTTGACAGCACAAGATTTAAGAAAGGATTTAAAGCAGAAAGGATTTAAAGCTCTATTCCAGAGTTCAGCACGCAACCATAAAACCCATACCCATTCACATCATTCTTGTTAGTAGATAAGGGCAACATTTTCAAGTCAAATTTTCCCCAAATATAGCCTCACTCCCCCAGGCTATAAGCAGGGAGCGATGACTCGCCATAGCTCTGGTTGGTTCACAGCAAACCAAGAGGGAGAGTCTGCAGCCCAGTGCTGGCGGAACACTCAGTCTACTATGAGGAATAAACTAAACAAACACATTCCCAGACTATCTTTTACACAGAGCGGTAGGGAGGGAACCAGCCAAGCAATCTCACAATATATCACCCACCCAAAAGAAAAGGTGCTGAAAAAATACTGGGCGTTATTTAAGTAGAGAATTGGAGTTTGTATTGGAATTGCATTATTCAGGAAAGCGAGAGGGGCCCGTGGAAGCCATGCCTGAGTGAGCGCATAGAGAAAGTATGAGGTATGAGCTCGCCTTAAATAATGCTCTCTGTCTGTCTCTCTGTCTCTCTCTACTGAATTTTTATGGTCCCCAGAATGAGACGGCTGCCTGTTAGTTCATTAAACTGAAAGCTAGCGAACATTGTGTCCTTATTACCACGTGCAGGGAAGATGTGATTTGTATGAGTGTGTATGCATTTAATTATATCCCCATTCTCACTGCCACTACACCACCGCTACCTTTGTAATTGCAGTTGGATTCGATAAAACTATGGTAATGGGTAACATGAGGGAGGGAAACATCTTCCCAAGTGCAAGGATCTTCTTTAATCAAACCCAGAATAATTTCTATGGAGGCTTATGCCTGGGCCCCGGGTCCTTGCACTATGCGGATGACTGTCTATTTGTCTGTTGCTTCCCTGATTAACTAGGTGATAAAGATTAATGTGTGCTACTGGAGGGAGAAGGTCCCTGGCTCCTACAACATCCAGCACCGCTTCCCCTGCTTCATCCAGCTGGAGTCAGAGGAGGCAAAGCATCACATCTACGGCCTCCCGTCCAATGAGTACCCAGGCCTGATGAAGGTGGGCTCAATTCAGCCAGACAAAAGAAAATACCCCCAAATAAACCACCTTGTTCAGTTAGGTTTGGGCTTTTAGATACCATAATGTTCCACACAGGATTCAGTGATGCCTTTGCTTTAGGTCTCAAGCAAGTTTACTAACCACACAAGCATAGTTCACCAAACCACCTCAATTACACTGTTTCCTGGTCTTATTGTATTGAATTTAAATAGAAATACGTTAAACTTTTGCTGACCTCAGAAGTAGGGCAGCAACACTGTCTGCCTCCAAAGTTCTCCAACACTTCCGGATACATAATCACAGGGTAATGTTGACTGTGTTTTGCGTTTCCATTTTCTATTCCATCTCTATTTTGAGCATGATGGAGAGCTAGCAGGAGTTGGGAGAGTAATAGCAGCACCCAACATGCAGGCAAAGGAGGGGGACAGATGGCTGTGCCACATCACATTATTCACTCTGTGGTGTAGTCAACAGTGCTTTGTAACCCATGTACTGTAGATAGATGGCTAATGCTCAATCAGACTAAGGCATTTTATTTTCAAAGGTAATTACCTTTCAAAATAAAAGTTGGCCACACTTCATAGAACATTGCATTTATATTACATAGGCCTTATACTGTTCTACCTACAGTCGATGTTCCTGGTAAGTGCACTTAGACTCTAAGTTGAATGCAGTTTGTTGATGTTGATGTTGTTTTTCTTCTCTGTTTGAAGCTTTGCTACCACACTGGCCCTGAGACGGACCCTGACGAGAGGGACAGACAGACGGACAGGGGGGACATAGACATCCTACAGCGCTACATCACCCGCTGCTTCCCTGGCCTGGTGCCCATCCCTGCTGTGGTGGAGAGCTGCATGTACACAGTGAGTATTACCAGTCTCAGAGCTGCATGTACGCAACGTTAACATCTCTGCTGCTTACTGTATCCCAGAAATGGCCATATTACAGTAATGGCCCACAATGGCAATTTACTCTGAATCGGTACAATTAGTGTACCATCATCCTTTCAGTTGGACTTAATTATTTATAATAAAACAAATCTTTGATCTTCCCACCAAGGAAAGGTACAGAATAGAAATGGGATAAGGGTGGTTCTGGATTTGAAAATTCAGAGAGGGAACCATTGTCCTGTTTGCCATGCCAATCACATCACATGCTGCACGGCTGCATTACCTTTGGGATTCAAACACTAATGGAAAACATCACAGACACTGAATATCATTGGAAACCACATGTCATTCCTGTCCCGTAGTCAGAGTAGCCTACTGCATGGAGAATGGGGCACAGTAGGGGAGAGTGGGGTAAGTTGAGCCTTTTTACATTCAGCATCACTCTGTCAACATATATTTCAGGATGTTGTGTATCCCAGGAAATAATCAGAATTCATGTAAACATTACAGTTTTGAAAACATAGCTTGTCCGGGTATGGGGTAAATTGAGCCGCGGGACAAGGTAAGTTAAGCCGCCTACAAATTTCTGTAATGAATGAAATATTACCACTACCTTTTTAAAACCATGTCTATCTTTATTTCCCAAACACAATTCCTCACAATCACCTTTTGGTATTTTAATCATTTTAAGCATCTTTTAACACAGGCTTAACATCTAGCAAACACTTTGTACTTTTTAAAACACTTTTAACATAGGCCAGGCCCTGTTGTTACCTCATATCCCAGAGATAATGCCTTGCATTATGCTTGGGAAGAAAACACTTCAATTTGTTTAACTTGCCATTGGCTCAACCATTGGCTGAACTTACCCCAAGGCAAAAGTTTTCACTATATTAGCCCACATAGCTACAAGGATGCACTATCTTGCTAGGTTTAGGACCTCATATTGAAGCTGATAGAGACCCCAACTGATGTATAGAACAATCTTTAAATTATCTACTTTGGTTTAGATACAAGCATCATGAAACCTCTAACAATACATTCATTTGACTTGGTGAAAATCTGTTTTTTGGACCTATGCTATATATACAAAAGTATGTGTACACCCCTTCAAATTAGTGGACTCGGCTATTTCAGCCACACCCGTTGCTGACAGGTGAATAAAATCGAGCACACAGCCATGCAATCTCCATAGACAAACATTGGCAGTAGAATGGCTTTACTGAAGAGCTCAGCGACTTTCAACATGGCACCGTCATAGGATGCCAACTTTCCAACAAGTCAGTTCGTCACATTTCTGCCCTGCTAGAGCTCCCCTTGTCAACTGTAAGTGCTGTTATTATGAGTGGAAACGTCTAGGAGCAACAACGGCTCAGCCGCGAAGTGGTAGGCCACACAAGCTCAGAGAACGGGACCACCGAGTGCTGATGTGCGTAGCGCGTAAAAATCGTCTGTCCTCGGTTTCAATACTCGCTACTGCGTTCCAAACTGCCTCTGGAAGCAACGTCAGCACAATAACTGTTCGTCGGGAGCTTCATGGCCGAGCAGCCACACAGAAGTCTAAAATCACCATGCGCAATGCCAAGCGTCGGCTGGAGTGGTGTAAGGCTCGCCGCCATTGGACTCTGGAGCAGTGGAAATGTGTTCTCTGGGGTGATGAATCACGCTTCACCATCTGGCCGTCCAACAGACGATTCTGGGTTTGGCGGATGCCAGGACAACACTACCTGCCTGAATGCATAGTGCCAACTGTAAAGTTTGGTGGAGGAGGAATAATGGCCTGGGGCTGTTTTTCATGGTTCGGGCTAAGCCCCTTGGTTCCAGTGAAGGGAAATCTTAACGCTACAGCATACAATGACATTCTAGACAATTTTCTGCTTCCAACTTTGTGACAACCGTTTGGGGAAGGCCCTTTCCTTTTTCAGCATGACAATGCCCCCGTGTACAAAGCGAGGTCCATACAGAAATGGTTTGTCGAGATTGGTGTGGAAGAACTTGACTGGCCTGCACAGAGCCCTGACCTCAACCCCATCGAACACCTTTGGGATGAATTGAAACGCCCAATTGAAACGCCCAACATCAGTGCCTGACCTCAGTAATGCTATTGTGGCTGAATGGAAGCAAGTCCCTGCAGCAGATTTTTCAACATCTAGTGGAAAGCCTTCCCAGAAGAGTGGAGGCTGTTATGGCAGCAAAGGGGGGACCAACTCCATATTAATGCCATGATTTTGGAATGAGATGTTCGACGAGCAGGTGTCCACATAATTTAGGTAATGTAGTGTAACTTGCTTACCACTTTTTCCATATGGTTTCTTCCTTCACAGACTCCATGAAATTATATTTGGTCAAATATACATTTTGTATATGGTTTCCTAGAAACAAGGGTGGCTCAACTTATCCCTTTGGTTCAACTTACCTCACTCTCCACTAATGGATGTCATCTCCAATCCCCAAACAGATGGCAGTTGGGGTCCGAAATGGACAGGATTTATTCTTCTCAGATGAGTTTCTTTAACCAAGCTACTGGTTCCCTCAATCTTTTCTCTCTCTTTCCCTCCATCACTATCCCATTACCACATTTCGCCTGATTTGCCTCCCCCTCTCTTGTTCTCTCTCTCAATTCACCATCTCTTTCTGTTGCAGGTCACGCCAGACAACCATTTTGTCCTGGACCACCATCCCACTCACAGTAATATCGTTATCGGAGCAGGATTCTCAGGTGTATATGTGCTGAACATGAGTATTGTCTTTCTTTCTGGCCCAACATAACAAGTCCCGCAGCTCCACATCATACCCCAACATGGCTGCATCCATAGTGTCACTCACAACATACAGTATAATAGTGGATGTGTGTGGATGAGCAAAAGCCCAAAGAGTTTAGCTTTAAAATGTTTTTTCAACACTGACACCCGGCACACACTCTGGCCCAGAGTGGTGCTGAACATCACAGAGCCCTCTGAACCTACTTCAGCTCTGTGTGCTGTAGCTGTATCTTAGAGCGAGATCTTACACAGGGAAAAGTCAGACAACTTTTAATTAGACAGTCTTTCAAGCCGGCTGTGAAGGGTGAAGAGTTGAGCTTTGAGTCCAGACCCATTTTATTCCCTAATTAACGTCTTTGAGGTGCTCTCTCTGTCTGCTCGCTTGCTCTCTCTCTGTCTGTCTTTCTCTGTCTGTCTGTGTGGGGCGGGTGAGGCAGTGTGGGGGTCCTCTCCTCCCTGTCCCAATGGGCCGACGGCTGGGGTCTCCTGGCTCCTGTTCCATCTGCTCTGATAGCCGCCTCCTACAGTAATTATATGTGTAATTAATTTCCACTTGTAATAGTTTTTAAAGGACCTGGCTGGCACACAGTGCAGTTGGCTGGTGAGAGAGAGAGAGTGCTACTGGATAACAAGGAGGATTAGCTCCGCGGGTTAGAGAAAGCCATTTGAGAAGCCACATAATCAATACAAGTATGAATTGAAGAAGTGTTTTGCTTCTGAACCCATTGGTCCCTTGGTGGTAGAATCTGAGGGGTAAGACATTTTTATTTTCAAGTCCTTTTTCAATGGAAAATGAACCATAATAGGATGACTGTTCATCACGGTCTATTAACCTGTTCAACTTGCATTTACCATATTATCAGTGTTTTAACCCAGGTGCTCTAGTAAAGACTGTGCAGCACTGTGCTGTGTTCAATCAGTGCACAGGGTTAATCGCAATACTACAAAAAATGTGCAGCTCCTCTTTCCCCTCTTCCCCCTCCCCCTCCTCTGCTTGAGTTATCAAAAGCCATAAGCACTTTAAAGCAAGTCCTGGGGGTTGCCATGGTTACAAAGGCACCCAGCGGGTTTGGGCCTGCCATCGAGGGCCCCTCACCTCTTCCTACAAAAAACACATGTGGCGAACTGTCAGAGTGGCCTACAGTTCGTTCGCTATAGCCCCGGATGCAAATCACTGAGGCTTTTATGACTTCAAAGCCTGGCTGGATCCATGGGAGCTCTGAGAACTTTATCAGGCAGAGAGAGAACTCATGCAAGGCATTCTTAAGCCCAGTTGACATTCAGAGTTTTCCTTCCTCCCTCAGACCCATAGCAACAAGAAGAATTCACCTCTCCTGAGTAGAGCGTCAGTTTCCTCAACTCACCCCTAGGCTGACAGCTCACGGCAGGCTCATCGCTGAAAGGAGGGACAAATCTCCTTCATTTATCTCTGGCTTGAGCCCACTTAAATGAATAGATGCCCTGTGACGGTCAGCGCAATAGCTCCTGTCCTCTTTTATGTCAGGCGGCTCAAACAGACCGCCTGACTCAGACAATGGGCCAGAAACACACAGGTTATTTATAGAGGCCCATTGTGGTGTTCCACATATATTTCAGCACATTATAGACTCTTGGCAAACCTGAAATGACACCCTTTACCCTATTTAGTGCACTATATCCCCCCTTTATAGAGCCTAAATAAAGCCTATAGGGTGCTCTTGAGATGCAGCCTCTGAGTTTGATGACCTACCTGCCTCACTTACTGTGATTTGTTCTCCCCCCAGGTCACGGATTCAAGTTTGGCCCAATCATTGGCAAGCTGCTGTGTGAACTGAGCCAGGGAGAAGTGCCCTCCTATGACCTCTCCCCCTTCAGAATCAGACGCTTCCAAGCCCACTCCAAGTCAGCACTGTAGGATCGGGATCGTTGGCTATAACAACCATTTTTCTCAGGAACCAGACCTTTACAAAATGAAGAAATTGAAGGTTTTCATACCAGTGTGGCTGAAGCCTAAACAAACAATGGTCGCTCGCAAATAAATATTTACTTTTCAAGCTAATCGTTGAGAAAAGTGACGTAGGGATGAGAGCCTTGAAATGAGATGTGGAAACAAATCAATGATTCACTAAAGCTGATCTCTCAGCTGCTGTGTTGTTAATACTGCTCTGTAAATCATACTCTCATAGCCTCTGTTTGGACCTGGGACCCATCCTGCATCATTTCAAACCAGACTAATAATAATAGTAATAATAATGTATTACATTTGTAATGCACTTTTCATTATACAAGAATAATATCAAAGTGCACAAAATAAAAGAACAAATAAAAAACAATTTTTTAAATAACAAAACAAATATATCTAACCATCATGAAAGCAACAATCAAAGTCTAAGAGGAAGGCCCTAATGGTAAGCCAGCTGGTAGAGGTGAGTCTAAAGGCCAACTGGAACGTTGTTGAAGAACTGTAAACGCGTTCATCTGTGACAAATGGTATTAAACTTGGGGAGAAAATAGTACCCTTATTGGCCCGTATGCTTTTATGCATCACTACCTCTCCCCTTCTCACTCCCTCGAGTGAGGCCTTTTTCAAGTGAAGCACATAGTTAAAAAGACATCAGCCGTGGAGCCATTTGTCTTTGCGCAGCCAGCTGTGTGTGCAGTGTGTGTGCAGTGTGTGTGCAGTGTGTATGCAGTGTGCAGCCTTCAGTGGTGTGTGCCTCTGCCTGTACCTTTTTCCCCATGTAAACATTTTAATCACTAATCAGCCAGCCTGTTACAATGGTTGCCAACCACAGCCATCAGCGGGAATGAGAAAATTATACAGTGAGACGCAGAGAGATCAGCGCACCACAGTCTCTCGGCTCTAAGTGACTTTGAATTGATAGAGAATTAGGAGACCATTAAACATGCAAACGCAAATATTCACCCACCATTATTCAGGAGGAAAGGACACACTGGAACATCTACTTCTAAACATGTATGTATGGGATACGGTTTTAATAACCAGATTAACGTTTGAAAGTAGTGCCCTATTTCTGTCTCTCTAGAGCCAGCTTCATGGCTCTGGGTCCTAGCGCCTTTTTTGGACACTTGACTTTGCCACAAATACAAGTGAATGTAATTTGGTTGAACTATCCCTTTAAGCACTTGATAGTCAAAGGATAATAATGGTCTGTCAGAGTGGGCAATTAGACTTTACCCTCAGTTAATCAGACATAGACCATGTTATAATATAGGCACATAAACCTGAGCTGACAGGAAAGGGGGACTGGTGGTGGTGGGATGAACGTAGCCTGAGGGGAGACATGCCACCATGAGGAACCATAAACTCACTCTTGTTGCTGCCGATGTGACATGGAGAAATGTAGCTCAGAGAATGACAGGAAACTGACACTGATAGCAGCTTTTTCCACGTCACCACACTGCTAGAAGGTGAAAGGTGGTGACACAGACAGATAAACAAGACCTGTTTTAATGTTTCCTCCTCTCAGGGGGGTTATTTGTCCTATCTGCCAGGTAGGTTCAGAGGGCAAGAGTGGGGCTCTTATCAGATAGAACACCTGCCATGAATTTGAAAAGACGTGCTTAAGGGGATTAAGGTTTTCATCTCTGATTTGCATATTCCAATATTTTTCTACCACTGCTTCAATGCTAATAGAACAGTGGCTGTTCTTTTTCACCAATCAGAGCTCTTTGTCAGCTTCCATGGAAGATAAAACAACTAACATAACACAGATCCACTCAAGTGTTCTTCCTCTAATTGTTCTGTTCCCTCTCCATCTGCCCCTAGTCTGTCACAAGCCTTCTAAATAGGCCCAGATGTGTCAGAGTCTTAATCTTAAAAACAAATGTGTGAGAGAGACAGAAACCACAAAATGACTGTCAACTATGAGATTGAGTGCTAAGTACAGTGACATGAAAAAGTATTTTTCCCCCTTTCCCCCTGATTTTCTCAACAAAAAAAATGTAACATATTTTTGATCCTCAACCAAAACCTAATATTAGATAAAGGGAACCTGAGTGAACAAATAACACAACAATTACATATTTATTTCATTTATTTAATAAACAAAGTTATGCAGCACCCAATGCCCCTGTGTGATAAAGTAATTGCCCCCTTAAACTCAATTACTGGTTGTGCCACCTTTATCTGCAATTACTCCAACCAAATGCTTCCTGTAGTTGTTAATCAGTCTCAAATCGCTGTGGAGGAATTTTGGCCCACTCTTCCATGCAGAACTGCTTTAACTCAGCGACATTTGTGGGTTTTCAAGCATGAACTGCTTGTTTCAGGTCCTGCCACAACATCTCAATTGGGATTAGGTCTGGACTTTGACTAGGCCATTCCAAAACTTCACATTTGTTGCTTTTCAGCCATTTTCATGTAGACTTGATTGTGTGTTTTGGATCATTGTCTTCCTGCATGACCCAGCTGCACTTCAGCTTCAGCTCACAGACGGATGGCCTTACATTCTCCTGTAGAATTCTCTGATACAGCACAGATTTCATGGTTTGTTCAATGATTGCAAGTCATCCAGGTCCTGAGGCAGCAAAGCATCCCCAAACCATCACACCACCACCACCATGCTTGACCGGTGGTATGAGGTTCTTACTGTGGAATGCAGTGTTTGGTTTTAGCCAGACATGTCGTCCAGTTCTGCATGCAAGAGTGGGCCAAAATTCCTCTACAGCAATGTGAGAGACTGATGAACAACTACAGGAAGTATTTGGTTGGAGTCATTGCAGCTAAAGCTGGCACAACCAGTTATTGAGTGTAAGGGGGCAATTACTTTGATACTTATTTCATTTATTTAATAAACAATATTTTTTGTTATTTGTTCACTCAGGTACGCTTGATCTAATATTAGGTTTTGGTTGAAGATCTGAAAACATTCAGTATAAATAAATAAAAAATAGAGGAAATTAAAAAGGGGGTAAATACTTTTACACAGCACTGTAGCCATGGAAATGACTATGATTTGGAAGAATTTGTGCAAGGTAAATGGAATTGTGTGAGAAATGAGGGGTACACAGGGGTGGTTGGAATGGGGAATCAAGGTAGATGTGAAACAGGTGGTGGAAGGAAGGCTGGTAGTCAACCAAAGCAGCATAGCAACATGCAGTATGTTAGGTGTTCTTTGGTAGCTAGGCACCTGTCTGAACTACTAACAGATAACATCATCCTCATTATTACCTGTTATCAAAATAGCATCAAGATGACAACTGGACACAGTCACCTCACACTGAGGACCAGATGGGGAGAAATAAGGAATGCTGTGAGACATCCATAGACTGGTTACATTTTGGTTTGTTTTCATTTTAGCTGTTCGAACACATGAGAATGGGAATGATGTTGTGTTTACCACACGATAAGCTGTGATTTGGCCTTTAGCACGTACAGGTTGTGTTTGTCTATTAATATTCAAATGAGTTTGAGTTTGAGTTTGAGTTTGGGCGTTTCAAGGGCTACAATGACCTCCTGGGTGGCAGGTCATTCTGGTCTCAAACAAAGATTAGTTTGGTAAGTATACTCAGCTTGCTTGGGGCTAATGTCATCAGTTGTTGTTTTTACAAACGTAGTTAAATTTGACATTAAATGCAACATTATCAAGTGTTAAATAAAATTGTATTTAAATGTTAAATGAATCCAAAGTTTGAATTAACCTTGTAACTCATAAGGTTACAAAGTAACGTCTAAATATGTTGCATAGTGTGGCAACTGTATCCATATTTTGTCCCCCATAAAGAAATACAACGTTAGATACTCCACTGCGTGGCATAAAAAGGTCAGAATGAGGTCAAACTGAGAGGAAATGCTGTTTCGTAATGTAAACTGAGGAGCAGTTCCAACGAGATGTTGTCGTCTTAAATACTGTCAAATCTGTGCAGTAGATATTTACAATCTTGTGTTGAGACCTTTTGATGACCTCACCACCATCTGTAATGTAAAAAGCAGAGTCCTTTTGGTGGTAAACCACTGCCATATGGTCAAGCCCCTCCCACACAAAACCCCAGAGGTGAGCATTGGCATAAGGTTAGTCTTCCATGCAAAGCTCCAGGCATGGCGTTAGTCGGCCCACCTGTCTCCATGATTAACATTATCCATGGGTTACTGAGCCTCTAGACAGCAACGGATGCCCTGGGTATCCACCATCCATCCACCATGCCCTGCTAGGGACCTACGGGGGAGGAGGATGGGGCATGAAGCAGGAGGACAAGGGAGAGCAGAGAGATCATCAGGGCATGACGCTGGTGGGAGGTTAACAACTCAAGGCATTCTGCCTGCCTGCAACCATAGTGAGGGAGGAATCACACACATCCAAATGTGGTGCAGTAGTTACAGGACCTGGACAAAACAATATAAATCTAGGGAAAGGTAGGGAATTTCGGCTCGCTGTTTGCTGCTCTTGGCCCAAGGGTGATGTTACAATTCAGCTCATTGGATAAAGCCAGGTTTGTCAGTGTCGTATATGATGAGTGGTAGCAATTATTGCTGTCAACAAAAAGTCCGCTATGCTGCATCGTGTTAGAGGCTTTTATTAAAATCACGAATTCACAGCATAGATACAGACTCGCGATGTCCGGAGAACGGCTCCCCAGATTGCTATGGCCGTTCTGCCGTCTCATCGTTTAACCCCTATTTATAAACAATGCAAAGGGAGGGGTGACTCCCTCTTCTGGCCAATCACCAGTCTCCCCTGGGGCATCACCCTCCCAACGCTACATTTGAACTAAGATCATAAAACAACATTCTTTGTTCCTCCAAAACATTTAACAAAGGCATAATCTTCAGATACGATATTCCCCCCTTTCGAGACGAAATAAACGTCTCGAAAACAAACAGAATAAGATTATGACTATTAACCATTTATCTTATTGAGTATCTTTAACATTAAACCAAACACATTCTCCTCTAGAGTGTAAATACCTTTCTATGAAATACCTGTTTATGAAGTGAGAATACATTACTATGACATATGAAGTGAGAATACATTACTATGACATATGAAGTGTGAATACATTACTATGAAATATGAAGTAATCTCTATGGAGTGTAAGAGCGAAAAACTGTCCAGCAGCCATCCATCCATATCAATCAAGACAGTAAAATTCTCTCACGGTCCCTCTGCCCCAGGCAACCACCGTCGGTACTCCAGATAACCTCATAACTCATGTAAATGCATTTGAAAGTATGATGCAACTAACTACACATGTAAGCCCCTGCAAACAAAATCCTATCCATAAACATCCATTGTACGGCTGGTCAACCCATTGGACCGTACAAGTGGAACTCTCCCTGCCTAGACCTTCTGTCCCTAAGCATTCACC